GGAGGGTCTCTTAGCATCCTGATGCTGGTGGGTGTGGAGACAGGGAAGGTCCTGGAGGCTTGTATTCTGGACCAAGCCTCACTGGGACTCAGGCTCTTCATCTTTCCAGTGAAGAAGTTGGATAATATGAAAGCAATTTCTAGATAGCCATCCATCCATCCATCCATCCATCCATCCATCCATCCATCCTACTTTCAGTGAGGCATCCAAGGTGGGTGTTTTAGGTGAGTCCCCTAGAAGCAGCGGCCAAGACAGGGATCCTTGGGGAAGTGATTTGTTGAAGGTTGCTCTCAGGAGAAGGGGAGCGAGGGAAGCAGGACAGGGCGGGGGAGGAGTTGAGCAAGGACATGGCCTGACCCCATGAGGGTCTGGAGCATGAATTACACCACAGAGCTCGTTCCATTTTAAGGTGTAGGGGGCTGGTCTTTTGTATGCTTGGGTCTGTTGGTCATCAACCTAAGGATGGGAATCCTGGGACGGGGATGCAGGGTGAGCCCGTGATCCGGTTCAGTTGAGGGCAATTCTCCAGAGAAAGGGACATCTGGGAGCCAATACAGTCAACAGTCAACAGCCTCCGGGGGATGGGTATTCTAGCCCAAAGCGATCTGAGTGGGGTGTTACCAGCATCCGTTAGAGAGGGTGTTACCTCTTCTGTTGAGTATTTATTCCTCTTTGCAATAAATATTTCTTTAATACCGGCTTCGTACAGCCAGCCCTTGGGCTTAGCACTGAGGATTCAGGGGGGAACAAGTCTGATGTGTGCTCTGCTCTCAGAAAGTCTATATTCTCGTGGAAGAGAAAATTCAACAGGTTATTACAATCCAGTGTAAGCAAATTGCAGCCGTGGAGGACAGGCGAGCACCCTGGCCCAGGCTTGGGCTGGAGGACAGGTCACGGAGGAAGGAGGAAGCAATAGAAAGCTCAGTCCTAGAGCATGACTAAGGTGTTATCCAGGTGAAGGGGGGTGGGGAACAGTGTTCCAGACAGAGGGAACAGGATGTGCAAATGTCTAGAGGCAAGAGAGACCACAGGGCTTTCTGCGACCTACTGTCTTGAAATTCTATTTTACTTCACAGACTTTGGCATCTCTGCAGGGCCCTGGACAGTGCTCTGTCTTTTTGAAACTCCAAGGGGGCCACTGTCCGTCCTCTTCTGGGTCATCTTTGTTCAAACTCATGCTGTTTTTGCCCAGATTAATTGTACACAAAGGGCTTCACAATCCTTTCAGGGCTGTCATGTTCCAAGAGTTCAGATTTTGTCCATCAAAGGGCCCTGTTCTGGGAGGCAGGAGATCATTCTAATTTCAGTTTTATTGGCTTCCTCTGTGACCTCAGGGGAGTCACTTGCCCTCTCTGAGCCTTGTGTAAGAGGAAAGGAAGCAGATAGGACTTGGCTCACTGTCACTCTTTCCACAATACTCTTGTTGTGATTTTTGGACTCGCAACATACGCTGGTGGGTCCCGGGTGCCTGGAGCAGTGTGTCTGGTGCATAGTAGGTGCTCAAAAAGCATTTTTTGAATGAATGAATATTCTCCTTGTAGAGGTTCCTTCCATTTCCTCCCTTGACCGCCTCATCTTCAGTGATCTTGTCCTCATCTCCCACAGCTTCTCCCACCACGGCCACCCCCAGGATTACATTACCCTGCCCCTCTTCCCTGCTCACCCACCAGCCCAATTTTAATAATCTTTCGGTCCCCCAGGCCCTGAACCTATTGGTCCAACCACCTTCTCTTCATCCCTCCCTACCCTTCATCATGTCCTCACTTCTTCCCAGCTCCGCTCCTGCTCACCTCTTCAGAAACATCCCTCCAGCAAGATTCTCCTCTCTCTTGGACCATTCCCACCAGCCTAAGACACGTTGGCATCTTGCCCATCTGTCTTCACACCTTTTTCTGACTGCCTGAAGCTAGGAAAGGTGTTCGGCTTTTAAGGATCACATGATTAGATTAGATTAGATTAGATTAGATTAGATTAGGCCACCTGCATAATCCAGGCTAATCTTCCAACTAGAGGTCCTGCTTTAATCACATGGGCAAAGTCCCTTTGCCAGATAAGCCGGCATCTGCAAAGGCTCTCAATTAGGACGTGGGCATCTTTGGAGCCATAACTCTGCTTACTGCAGGCACCAAGCCTTCAGAGAGGGCTTTGCAGGCTTTGCATGGAGGAATCCCAAACTCAGAAGAAAAAGAACAGGGCCCCAGGGGCTGAGACCTCACCCTGAGCTCTCGGTTGCTCTGCACATATCTTTGAAATGCTTTTTGTCTTTAAAATTTCTATCCATTTTGTATTCTCCCTAAGAATACATTCATATTTGTTTCAATATAAAAAAGAATGCTCTCAATGCCTTGCCAGTTACATCGCTTACCTTCCCCCCCGCCCCCCATACTGGGAGTGAATAATGCTGCAGAAAGGTGCGACAGGTTTCTGGTGGCTTTCGGTACTCACGACCTCCTGACTCGCTGTCCCTGTTTCCACCGGAGACTCAGAACCCAGTGCGCGCAGTGCAGCTCTGAGCCAGGGCTCTGAGGCACTAATGTATTCCTGGTTCCAGCTGTCAGACGAGGGGGGCGTCTGGGGCAGAAGGGCCTCCCAGCTGAAGGCACATCAGGTGGACAGCTGCCCATCGCTCCAGTGGATTCAGCCAGGTAGCTCTGGTTGTGTGCAAGCCCTGTTCCAGGCGGTGCTGGGTGGGGAACCAGACACACGAACCCATGGCCATGTTCCACCGTGGAATGTTCTGAGTACCGGGACCCTCTGCTACTCAGAGTGTGGTCTGGGGACCAACTCTATTGGTATCACCTTGGAGCTAGGGAGAGATGCAGACTCTCAGGCCTGATTAGCAGCAGAATCTGCATTCTAGCAGGATCCTCAGGAGCATGGAAGTTTGAGAGGCACGACTGTAATAATCCATGCATTCATCAGTCAAGACATTGATTACCTGTTCCAATTCTGCGCTGAGAGCTGGGATACAATGAGTTTGAGCCTCTGTACCCTCAGTCTTGCAGGATCGAACAAAGGCCTACATTTGCTGTAGGGGGCTGGGGTGGGAGAAGGGCTTCTAAGGAGGGCAGGGAAGAGGTCTTCTTGGAGGAGGTGGCATCCAAACTGGGCTTGGAAAGATGAGGAGGGTTTCACCAGACAAAGACAGGAGGGGAGGGAATCCCTGGCAGAAGAAGCAGCGTGAACAAAGGTGGGAAGGTGAGGAAGGATCAGGCTAGTTTAGGCAATGACAGATGACCCATTCTGGCTGGGACATAGGTGACAAAGGGTGACATAGTATATTAGTTGTAGATGGTCATCTGATCTTCACGTGGTCTTCTCTCTGTGTGTCTGTGTCCACATTTCCTTTTCTCACAGGGACACACATCGTATTAGATTAGGGTCCACCCGAGTGACCTCATTTTAATCAAATCACCTCTTTGAAGACCCTATCTCTAAATACAGTTACAATCTGAGTTACCGGGGGTTAGGACTTCAACAAATGGAAGGGGGGTGGGAGGTGTGGAGGGGACATAATACAGCTCATGGCACAAAGTGAATGAAATGAGCCCGGAAGAGTGTGCAGCCTCTGGGGAGACCTGAGTGCCAAGTCGAGAAGCTTGCACTTTTTCCTGGAGGCCATGGGGAGCCATGGAGTATTTAGAGTAGGGGAGTAGTGCCCCCAGAGCCTCTGCTGAGCTCCAGTCATGGGTCTACAGGGACGGGAGCTCGTCTTTCTGTATGGTCAAGGGCCAGATCAAGCACTGCCCCCTCCGTGGCTGGCAGGTTAGGGACCTGGCGCTGTGCAAGACTGGGAAGCCGCTTCCCCTCGCCGGGCCTCAGTTTCCTTATCAATAAAATGGGCCCGGGGACATGATGCAGCATTGCCCAACCTGATGGCCCCAGTGGCTGTGAGAGGATTTCAGGGGGACATGGACAGACATCTCCGACTTTGCAGGTTATGTCATTTTCTCATGTTTAATCATTTCATGTTTTTTGACTTTCTCTTATAAAAACATTCTAACATACAAAAAAGCAGGGACTGTAGTATAATGAACACTCACATACCCATTATTCAGATTTAATAAGTCTTAACATTCTGGCATAAATGAAAGATCTTCATATTTTGCCCTTAAATACTTCAGGATGCCTCTCTCAGCTCTAAGGATATTTTCCCTAATAACTGCAATACCATTAGCCCATCTAACAAAACTAAATATAATTTCTAATACTATTCAACACCCAGTTCATATTCAAGTTTTCCCATATTGTCCCCAACAAAATGCTTTTCCTTTTGAAATTTATAAATGAGTATCAAGGAAAAAAATCAAACCCATGATATCAAGAGGATATAGAGTTAGATACACACATACACAGATGGACATCTTTTTAAATTTTTAAATTATGTCAAATTTGCAAAGCTGTGTGAAAGAAAGAATGGTCCAGAGGTCTGCACCCCTGTGTAAGACAGCCCCTGCGAAAGTCGTTAAGTTTGTCTCCAAGACTCCCTGAGCCATAAAGGGTCTTCCGCACTTACACACTGTAGAGGGTCGTGCCCCACCTAGAGTGGGCAGTGACCACTGCAGGATGGTTCTGCGTGAGGTGACTCTGGAGGGCAGGGCTCCGAGCCCAGGGTGTGAGACAGGCCCAGTTTCCAGAGGCCTGAGCCTCTTTCCCCCGCGCTGTCCTCTCCCCTCGACACAGTGCAGCCGGGCTGTGCTGAATCCCTGGGCCTCGGATTCTCAACCTCTGTGGGGACAGTGGGCCACACCACCCTGATTCCTGGAACAGGAAACAGTTTGTGGAGAACCCACGGGTAAAAGTCGGCAAGAATAAAGCGTGAGTTGGCGGCCCTGGGCCGAGGGCAGAGCCAAGGACAGAGCCGAGGACAGAGGTGATGATCCGTGTTAACAATGGCTGTCACCGAGCCCGTGGCTCAGTGTGTTTCTCAAGAGCTTCTCATTTAGTCCTCGAAATGACCTAAGAAGCTCCGCATTTTATTCTCCCCGTTTAACAGATGAGGAAGCAAGCTCAGAGGCACGCTGACTAGCCCAGGGACACACAGTGAGTCGGTGACGAGCCGACAATTGAAGCCATCTCCGTGCCTGGGAGTCTAGTCCCTGAGCTGTGCCTCCCAGAGTGTCCTGTGCAGAGGGGAGTCCGGAGGGAGGTGAGGATGCCTCTCCACGGAGGACGGATTCAGGGACGGCTTTCTGGGGAAGTGACTTTTGAGCTGGGTCTTGAGGGCTGACTCAGTTCAGGGTTCACGGGGAAGGAGAGAAAGGGCATCGGAGGTGGAGGGACCTGGAGGCCACAGAGGAGGTTCCCGGAGAGAGGGCTCCACCGAAGTTCTCACTGCTCACATGTGTCCTCTCTCCTCCAGGGGGTCGGGACAGGGCAGGGAGGCCCCTGCTCCTGGTGTCAACCACCGAGGGGGCCTGGGAGGCACTGTGGTGCACAGCGTCAGAGGTCACCAAGCTGCTGTCCTACCTGTGCACTGTCCCCAGGTAAGGGGCTGAGCCAGCTGGCCACTCTGTCCCCCTTTGACTTCTTGGCCCGGAGCCCAGGTCCAGGCGCTGAATGGAGAGACACTGCGTCCTTCCACCCAGTCATCTGTTCCCGGAGCCAGTCCGAAGCCAGATGCTGGGGGGAAAGCAGGACAGACTTAGTCCCTGCCATCAGGGGGTTCCCAGATTGGGGGGGGTGATGGATGGTGTGTAAGGAGCAAAGCACACACAAGCAACTCTCAGGAGCATCAGTGTGGTGAAGAAAACAGGGGGATGATGTAGATCAGTGGTTCGCAACTCAAGCGTACATCAGAATCACCTGGAGAGCTGTTAAAGCAGATCGCTGGGCCCCACTGCAAGTTTCTCATTCGGTAGATCTTGGGCCTAAGAATTTACATTTCTCACAAGTGTTCTGGTGACACTGATGATGCTGGGCTAGGGACACATTATGAGGACCACTGTTGTGGAGTGGGAAGGGTGGGGGACTGATTTCAATTGGGAAATCTGGGAAGGCATCCCAGAGGAGGTGATAATTGAGCTGGCATTTGAATTATAAATATTTGTTGAACAAATGAAGGGCGAATGAGTGAATGAATGAATGAATGAATGAGTAAGAGAGTGAAAGAAAGAATTAGTATGTGAGTAATGGGTGATCCAGGATGATTTCTAACACCTCCACTCCCCCACCTGTGTGACATCATGTTGGGCTGGCTGGGGAAAGGTACCTTTCCTCAGAGTTCTGGCCCCCAGCCAGGAGGGTCTCAGAGATGGTATCTGCTCAGGACTGTGCCTATAGACCCCAGCCCATCCTAGAGGTTGTGTGGCTAGGGGTAGGGAGTGGAGGGACTGATGGAACCCTTTGGAACCTTCCCCATGTGCTCTACCCCATGGGAGCCATCACTGCCACTTGGGGCCATTGAGATTTTTCTTCCTCTTCTCCAAGGTGGTGTGGCTTTTCTGGCCTGAGGGGGAGATGGGACCCCCTTTTCTGTGCTGAGAAGTGGCCAGTGTGGTAGACTGAGTCCTGGAATCCCACCAACTTGCTGTGTGATGTCGGGGCAGTAACCTCCCCCTCTGAGTCTCACTTGAAAAAAAAGGGACGACCAAGTGGACTCTGATGACCACTGTAAACTGTGGAGTCCTGGCCCCAGCTTCACACTAGGCCATGTTAGAGACTCAGATGCTCCTCACATCGGGGCCTGCCCTCCAGGGGCCTCCAGGCTGGCGGCCAGGCCGGTGTGGAAGCAAACCACTGTCCCAGCATGAACAGCCAGAGGCTGGTGAGGTGCGGGTCATGAAGTCTGAGACATGGCATCACCTCCAAGAGCCTCTTCTCACTGTCTGCCATGTCGGGGCTCTGTGCCTCAGTTTCCCCTTCTAGGGTCATTACAAAAGCAGACATTTACATTCCTCTTACCCTGCAGTCACTGAGTGCCTTACACTAATGAATTCATCAGTCCTCACCACAGCCAGTCCCGTGGGGCCAGCACTGTTATTATCCCCATTTACAGATGCAAGAGGAAACAACTTGCCCAGGTACCCAGATCCTGTAATACCACAACTCCACCTCCACACTGGCCGCCTCCGTGTTCTCTATGAACTGGCTGGGCTTAAGGCTTGAAGGCCTGGGGTGGGGGGGGAGGGGGGCGCCGGCTATTTTCCCAACCTGCCTGATTATCAGGATGGCCAAGGGCACTTGGAACCTCACAGACTCCCTGCCCGACCCTGTACCCGCTCAGGGGATGGGGTAGGGCTGGGGGTGAGGAACCGATTATTTTAGCAAGTCCTGACAATTGGGCCAGTTTGGGAAATCCTAAGGTAATCACTGAAAAGTACAGCACGAACCAGTGAGGGTGTTCCGGCTGCGAGTAACAAATTCCAGTTCAAAATGTCTTAACTGATAAGGAAATTCATCTTTCTTGGTCTCTGCTTTCCAGCTCTGAGGAAGAACCTCGTACAGGAGAGCCTGTCTTATCCAGAAGTCCCCCAGCACACGCCCCCTCACTTCTCATTGGACAGAAAATATGTCATGTGACCCCACTTAAAGCAATCATTGGCCAGAGGAATTAGCTTGCTGCTGTTGGCCTCAGCCAATCAGAAACCAGCCCCTGGGGGCCTGTTACACGGAGGGCGTGGGATTCCTGAAAACACGAGAGCGTTCTGCCCACAGGGAAGGGGTGGGTTGAATGCTGGACGACTCACCCACTGCAGCTGGGACAGTGGCTTTTAGGGTGTGAAAGAGGGCTGTGTGAGGTACCGTGGGAACACCAAAGAGGAAGCAATGGACTCTGCCTGGAGAGAGATCATGGAGGGCTTCCTGGAGTGGGGTGGGCATTGGCAGTTGGTCTTGTAGGATGAAGAGTTCACCAATAAATCAAGGCTTCTGGCAGCCAGTTTCCCTCCCCTTTCCCTAGGTCCTTCCTCCTAGAAAGCCCGGTCCATCCAGCAAGACTGCCAACTCTGTTTACAACCCACAGGCCTGAAGATAAAACCAAGGGACTGGCGCTTGTGATTGATGCCAGGAAACAGCCCCCACACCCTGGTCTGGTCAGTGCCCTGCAGGCCACCCAGGTGAGTGGGAGGTGGACAGCCTCAGCCTAGCAAGTCTTGGAGCTCCCAGGGGACTTGTGATGTTCCTGGAGCCCCGGGGGGCTCAGAGCTGGGACCAGGAACCCCAGGCAGGCACACTCTTAATTACAGGTACAGAAATCCCAGCCCAAAGAGACCTGAAGAGAGAGGGAGTTCATTGGTTCATTTGACTTGACAATTTGGAAATTAAATCCAACTTCAAGTACGGCTTGATTCAAGGGCTCAAATATTATCACCAAGACCTGGTTCCTGTCTCTCCATTTCTGGCCGGGTTCTCCTGGGAGGGCGCTATTTTCAGCCAGGCTCCCTGCCTTGGTGGCTGTCTGGCTCCCAACAGCTCTCACTTCCCATGGTCTTTCATTTAAGTCCAGTAGGAAAGAGTGAGAGATTCTCTTCCCAGAGATCCCAGCGAGTCTCCTTTTGTCTCCTTAGCTCAGGTGTCCATCCCCCAACCAATTCTGTGGCCAGAGGAATGCGGCACACTGATCGGCTTAGACTTGGATCCCCTGAACCTCATGAGCCCAGAATGTCAGAGGAAGAGGTGCCTAAGTAGCTGGGTTAGGCAGCACAGGAAGTGGAAAGTTGGCGTATGCTTACTTATGGTCTGATCTCCTCCTCCTCCTCACTTTATAATGGGGAAACTGAGGCCCAGTGGGGACGGGTCATCTAGGAAGTTTGGACCTGCTGCTCTATTGACTCTCGATTCACCCTCCAAACATACCACCTACGTGTCCCCAGCCGTGCCCCCCCGCCCAGTTTGCCTGAATCTTAGCAGGGGGCTCGGTGAAGGTCTAGGCAGAGCACCTCTGAAGTGGTTCTCTCTGACAGGCTCTGGCCCCAGCCTCCATCCGTGCTGTGCTCTACCTGGGGGACAAGGAGGCCGCTCTCCAGCTGGAGACACTACCTGACATCCAGGTGAGGGGGAGGCTGAGCTGAGCTGAGAATCCAGCAGCTAGGGGCTACCCTAAAAATAACCTAGTGGAGGTCAACAAGTTCAAGGCCGGGTGTTGCAACTCCACGGCCCTGCCTCTGTGGCAGGTGCTCCCAAACAGTACAGTTCTCTATCTCTGGTGATGCTCCTGGCACATGACTGAGAGTTGCAATGGCCTGAAACCTATTTTAAAAGCTTCATCTCCTCGACCCCTCCCTCCCTCTTTTCAGATGGGGAAACTGAGGCCCAAGGCCACGTGGCAAGCTAGAGACATACTGTGGCCTCGATCTTCCTGCCTTCCCCTCCCTTGGGTCTCTCAGCACCTCGGGCTCAGATACCCAGATGACTTGGGGTTTTGCAGGAAAGAGCCCTGCCGTTTTCTTTAATTCGCGCCATGTATTACAATCAGGAGCATGGGCACCCTGCCCTCTGCCCTGCTTCAGGAAGTGATTTTAAAGGACTCCTTCCTCCTCCTCCTCGTTGGTAAAGGGGCACATTGTGAGCCAGAAATGTGCATTTCATGCTTTTATGTACCAGTGAATCCCTTGAGGACCTTGTCAAAGTGTGGGTTCTAATGAAGCAGTTCCGGATGGGGCCTGGGATTTGGCATCTCTAAAAAGCTCCTAGGTGGTGCTGAGGCTGCTGGTCCATGGACCACACTTTGAGTACCAAGGAGAACAGATAGGTCCAAAAAAATCGAATCCACCCCGATCCCAAGCTTAGGTATCTGGAGCTGGGCCTGGCATAAACTTCCAACTTCACCACCCAGGAGAAGCAGCCACTTCATCCCTCCTCCATGTCTTAGAGGATACTGTCAGGATTGGGTGACCTTTTTCATCAGCCCCAAGAAGGAGACAGCACCTTGGGGGGGTCCTCAGAGGACAGTACAAAGATTACAAAGAAGTTACAGGAAAAGGGTGGGCTTCACTCAGTTTGTGTGATTGCCTGGAGAGTTGTGCCGGGAAAGAGCCTGGCTTATAGGGAGCCAGTGCTGGGATTGATTAGTGATGTCTGCCTTGGGCAAAGGCTAAAACAGGGGCATTATGAGTGCTGTTATTTGCCATTCCTTAGCCAGGGTCTCATTCTGAATGTTGATTTGTCAGACTTTCCAGAGAAGATCCTCGGCCCAGAAAGCAACTCTTAAAGCCAGGGCCAGCCTTCCGTGCGGTGGGTGGAGTGGTGGTGGGGCAGGGATCTGGCAAGACCCTTCTCAAACATGTGTCCCCACCCCGAGTCCCCTGGTCCTCCTGACTGGCTTCTTTCCTCTGCAGGTAGAGGTGGTGACCTCATTGAAGGCTCTCAGCCACCACGTGGACCCCGGCCAGCTCCCCCCGGCCCTGGAAGGCCCCCTCCCCTACTGCCACAGCGAGTGGGTGCAATTCTTTCAGGTGCCCACCGTCACAGCCTCTACCCCCCACCCTGACTCCTTCTCTTCCTCCCTTCACGCTCCTGCCTCAGGGATCCAGCGACCCTGTCATGTTCAAAAGCAGACATTCAACAAGCATTTATAATGAGGGTGCAGGGTACGGTTATTAAGAGCTCAGGCTCTGGGCCCAGACTGCCTGGGTTCCACTCCCCGCTCTGCTGTGTGACCTTGGGTAAGTTACCTATCTTCTCTGAGCCCTTTTCCTTGAATACAAAATGGAGGGGGCGGGTAATGATAGTACTTCCCGAGGGGACGGTTGTGAGGATTAATTGAGCTAATGTGGGCGAAGAGCTTAGAAGAGTGGCTGGCGCATGCCAAGAGCTGTGTCTGGGTTAACTGAAAAGAAATGGACCGACATTTGTTCTGTGGGCCCGCACGACTCAGGAGCTCGGGGGCTGGCGGGGCAGGCAGACGCGCTCCCTCCTGAGAGAGGGTGGAGATCAGGAAACGGCCCTTGCTGGGCTCCTTCCCCGCGTGATCTCAGCCTCTCCTCAGCACGACCCCAGAGGGGGCATTTCATGCCCAGTTTAACCTATGAGGACACAGGACGGCGGGGGCTGGGGGTACTTGCACAACAGCACACAGAAGATTCCAGATTAAATGGCACAGAAACCAGTGCCCATAAATGCTGCCCTCGACTTTCCCTAGACTGGGGCTGCTCATCCTCAGCACTGTTCACCTTTGGGACTGGATCATTCTTTTGGGGTGGGGGGGCTCTCTTGTACATTGTAGCATGATTAGCACCATCCCCGGCCACTACCCACTCTGACAGGAGCACCTCACCAATTATGACAACCGAAAACATCTCCAGACTTTGCTTAATGTCCCCTGGGGGACGGAATCACCCCTCAGTGAGAACCACTGGTCTCCACCAACAGTCTAATGCAGTGGGTGGTTTGCTTATTTGTTTGGCGACTGGGTGCTCTCCTATTGAACCTGTGCCTGTTTTTGAAGAGGCAGTGTGTTAAAAAATTAAAAGGCTACTAAAGGGTATATATATATTGAGCGATCTCCTTTCCTATTCATCCCACAGGCCCCCAATTCCTCTCTGGTGAATCCTGTGGCCTTTGAACTATATTTTCACTTTAAAACCATCCCTTGAAATGAAATCTAACCTATAGACCCAGAATATAAAACTAATGATGATGGTGGCTAATACACTAAGTGCCTCGTGCACGTGAACCCATTTCATCCTCCTGCAAGCCTATAAGGTAGGAACTACTGTGATCCCATTTTATGGAGGAGGAAGCAGAGGCACAGAGAGGTTAGGCAACTTGCCCAAGGTCTCACAGCTAGTCAGTGGTGGAGTTAGGCTGAAGTGGGACCCAGCAGAGGATGTCCCCTAGCTCTGGCCTCCCACATCTGCTCCTTCCCCTTCCCCAGGGGATATCTTGGGTCTTCTTTTCTCTCCTTCTCTCATTCCCAGCATCAGTGGTTCTCAAAGTGTGGTGCCTGGACCAGCAGCATCAGCAACACCTGGGAACTTGTTAGAGACGCACATTCTCAGGCCCCACCCCAAAAGAATTAAATCAGGAATTCAGGAGTGGGGCTCAGCAGTCTGGGTTTTAACCAGCCCTCTAGGTGATTCTGATGCAGCTCAAGTTTGAGAACCACTGCCTGATGCCCGCCCTGGGTCCTCCTGGCGTGGGCAGGCACCCTCCTCGCTGGCCCAGGCTGACACCCCCACTCTCGTCTTCCATCATGCAGAAGTTGGACCCTTTCCTTGCTGACCTCCGCCGGGCCTCCTCCTTTCTAAAGGCTTCCATCAGGCAGTTTGAGAAGAGCGACCCCCCTGGAGGGGTGCAGGTGAGCCAGATGCATGGGGTGGGGAAGGCTACTGCACCCCAGATTCCATGGACCAAAGGCTCAGTGAAGGGGACAGCCAGGGTGGGTCTTCGTTCATTAGACTAATATCTATAGGCCACTCACTATGTGTCACGCCCTGGAGACCCCAGCCTGGGCCAAACCGACTCGTCCCCACCCTTGGAGGTTTTAGTGGGTTCAGTGGTAGAGGCAATCCTTTAAAAAGTAAACAAAGAAATGGATATGTAGCTACAAATTGTGCCAAATGCCATGAAAGTCAGATCGAGAACAATAGGGAAAGAGGGAGGGCCTCCCTAAAGAGATGAGTATTTAAGTTGATGCCTGAGGATGACGATGGGAAGGAGCCGACGATGGGAATAAGAGGGGGACTGCTCTGGGTGGAGGGCAAATACGTGCCAAGGTGCTGAGGTGGGATTGCTCTGGTATGTCCAAGAAGAGCACGGAGGCCGATGTAGAACAGAGTGGTGGGAGTGGGGTAGGAGAAGAAGAGAATAACTGGAGGATCTTCTAATCCCACGGAGGCTGGATCAAGGAGTTGGACTGGGATTGGACTCTAAGCTGGCAGGGAAGCCCTGGGAGAGTTTTGAGCCGCGGGATGAACACCTTGGCACGTTGAGACCCTTCCAGCTGCCATGCAGAGAACCGACTGCAGGGGGAGCCAGAGAGCAGCAGGGAGAGCCGTGAAGAGGCTGGGCTGAGGGTCCTGGAGAAATGAGGGCGCTTGGACCAGTGAGGTTGCCATGGCGACAAGAGGAGGCGTGGCTTGAGGAGATGCTTGAGAGATAGAAAGGAGAGACTTTCTGCAGGACCTTGAATGCCAAACTGGGGGAATCAGGCATGATCTGGGTGTGGGGAGCCCTGGAAGGCTGTAGACCCAGAGTGGGGATTGAGCCTCAGGCCACCTCCCTGCACTGACAGGAGGCCTCCAGGTGTCTGAGCAAGTCCAAGGAGCTGATGGAGGCCGTGCTGAGGGACCCAGGCCTGCTGGGCCTCCAGCGGGAAGGGGGAGCCACTCTGGCCAGGCTGCGGCAGGAAGCTGGTAGGCTGGACTTCAACCCCGACGTCAGGTAGGAACGGCCAGGCTTTTCCTTCCTCACCTTTGTTCCCTGGCCCTGAGGGCTTGGAGCTGGGGACCCACAAGGTAGGTCTAGGATGGGGGCATTTGCAGGGCCCCTATCCTGGGCTGAGGCTTTGGTAAGGTCCCCGTCCCTTCTCTGCTGCCCCTCCTTCAGCCCTGGCCATCTTCAGCCCAAGGTAGGTATCTGAGAACAGCCCCTGCTCGTTTCTGGTCACCCTCAAGCACTTTCTCTGACTTTCTAAGACACTGGGCTGAGTCTCTTCAAGGGCACACCTCGTTTATTCCTCAAAAGAACCTTGTGAGGGCCACATCGTCCTCATTTGGCCGATGGGTGACAGAAGCACAGGGAAATGCTCTAAAGGCCAGAACATCTAAGCAGCAAGCCCTGCACCACCCCGCCTTCCCTGGGGGGCTCCTCAGCCTGGTGGAGGGAACCTTATGCTGGGTCAGTGGTCTCAGAGCCACAAAACAACAAATATGTATTCCTGGAAAGGACCGGTTTGCTTAAATTTAGGGGTGGGGGGTGCAAATCAGTAATTAAATCAGTGATTGGATATATTTTATCTCCATTAGAACAAACACAATTAACAAAGTTTACACAAGCTTCCAAGAATAATTTGTTTATTTAACCAACACCTAAATAGCACTTAGTACGAGCACAGCCTAGTTCTAAGGACTTTGCAAATATTAATTTGTTTAATTCCCACAAGGTGGAGTCTAGCATTATCCTCATTTTACAACAGAGGGGCCTGAGGCCCAGGGAGGTTGAGTGACTTTCCCAGGATCACACAGCTGAGCTGCGGTGGGGTCAAGACTTGAACCGAGGCAGCCTGGCCCAGAATCTTGAACACGTCCCCCTGAGCTGCAGCACAGAGAGATTCACGCTGATGCGGGGCCTGGTGCTGGGCGTGGAGCCGTCTCCCTGCCCCTCACAGGGCCTGGTGGGGCTGGCACTGTCTTTCCCAGCCTGACCCCGCCTCGCTGGCTGGCCGCCCGGCTCCTCTGTCCACCTTGGGCCTCTCCAGACTGTTGCCCCCAGCAGCTCCACCAGGGGGCGCTGTGGGCCCACATGAGCTGCTGTGCCTGTTCGTTCTGCCGGTAGGACCCCGCAGCTGCCGCCTGCCGGCCCCTTCCTCCCTCTGTCCCCCAGGCAGGCTGGCATTTTCCATCCCGAGCACCACCGACCCTGGGCCCTCACCCCTTCCTGGAAGGGCAGTGATCTGTGGGAAGCTGCAGTCAGACGAGGAGGCCCAGAACAAGGAAAGCAGGCTTTCCTTCCCTCGCATTTTTTCCCTTTTCCTTCCGAAGTTAAGACCCCGTAGGGCAGAGGACGGTGGGGTGGGATTTGAGGGGTGTTCCTCCCTCCGCCGCAGTGTTACCATGCCTGAATCCCATCTGCATCCCTTCACTTATGTCTTACTGGCTTTGACAATTTTAAAAAATTATATGCAAACAGCTGTACACCAGGTTTCAATTCGGAATGCCATGCGTGAGAGTCAGTTCCTCTCTCTGGACCTCAGTTTTCCTATCTATAAAATGGAGGCTTGGGGTACAAGGTTGTGTTACAGCCACTCACCATCATTACAGTAGAAATGATAAGTACTAACAAACACTGTGCTGGGCACTGCGTTAAGAGTTTTGAGTGTGTGAGGGCTGGTGCTCAGTCCTTGCTGCCTCCTGGAACTAAGAAGCTTTAGAAAGCACTGATGTCCAGGCTGCAGTCTGAGTCTGATTCAGTTGGCTTAGGGTGGGCGTGGAGATTTGAACCCAGATCTGTCCAGCTCACTTCATACCCTTCCAGGGAAGGGGAGGGTCATTTGGTGTGTCCTCCGGTCTTCCCAGTCCCCTGGAGGGCCAGTCTGAGGTCCAGAGAAGTATAGGGACCTGCCCAAGGTCACACAGCAAGTCAGCAGCTGGAATGCCCAGGCCGGACAGAATTGGGGGGGGGTTGTGGGGGGGCAGTGTGACTATGATGGGCAGGAGTACTGGAGGGGGGGAACATCTGGGGCCCTCTTTCCCCCTCTTCCACCTCCCAGGAGCCATCTGGCCGAAGCTGTTGCCTTGTACGGCCTCGTGGATGAGCAGCTGCATGTCCTGGTCACTGCATCTAACCACCTCCTGGGGAGGCTAGAGCTCCGCATCCGCCTGGGCCGCCTGGAAGCTGCCATCCACCAGGTGAAGGGGGAGGCTGGCCTCTCTGCAGGGAAGGCCCCGCTCCAGGCCCAGCCGCAGCTAGGCACTCCGCTCTGGTGGAAGGACACAAGGCTGGCCGTTCTCCAAGGGCCAGGCAGGCATCCCGGGACATGGCACGTGACATGGCATTCCATAGGTGCTGAACGGGTGAAGCCCCGCTCACCCCGCCAAGCCCTGGGCCAGAGCCTCTGCATCTACCATGATTTTGCAACTTATCACTTGTCAGTGATGTGGGAAGATGCCGGGATTTCTCCCACTCATCGATGAGGACACTGAGGCGGGGGACATGACATCACCTGCCTGTGGTCACGCACCTGGGGATCCTGGAGCCCCCACCTGGCATCGCTCCTCGGACTGCCGGTCCCTCGAGCGGCGTGTCCCTCCAGGCTGGGGCCATGGAGCGCACAACAGTGTGGGCTCTAATCCTGGCTCCAGCACTGATTGTGCCCCTACGCAGGTTATTTCACTGTGCACTGCTTCAGTTTCCCCATCTGTTCAGTGGGGAATAATATTAGTGCCTGCCATGCTAGGCTCTTTGAAGATAAAGTGAGTGGATACATACTCTTGAAGGCATCCCAGAATAAGGGGACTTCTGTTCATGGGTTCGAGAGCTGTTGTAACCCCTCTGTCCCTTGCGGATTCCTCATGTCTACCCCCATTTTGCCCCTGAATAAGTTGAGGCCCACAAAGGGGAAGTGACTTGCCCAGTTGACACAGTGAGTTCAGAGCACTTTACTTCATAGCACCCATGCACCTTACTCTACAGAAGACAGCTTTTCCTCCAGCACTGTTTGCACACCCCTGGGGATGGGGAGCTCATTACTCTCAAGGTTGCCTCTTTTATGATTGGTGGCGGCAAGTGGTTAGAGTAAGCTGAAATTTGCCACCCTGTTCAGACAAGTGTGCACAGAAGGCCTACTTCGTGCATGGTACTGGCCAGGCCAGATGCCCCCTGGGGTCCCTCTTGGGGAGTCCTCTCCCCTTCAGGTATTTGTTTTTATTTAATTTAATTTATTTGAGAGAGAGAGTGAGAGAGAGAAAGAGAAGGAGGGGGAGGGGCAGAAGAAGAGGGAGAAGCAGGTTCCCCACTGAGCAGGGAGCCCGATGTGGGGCTCGATCCCGGGATTCCCGGGTCATGACCTGAGCCGAAGGTAGACGCTTAACGACTGAGCCGACTGAGCCACCCAAGCCCCTCCCCTTCAGGTATTTGAAGAACGTGACAATGCACCCATCCTCCCCAAGCTGTCCCTCCTCCCCAGAACTGGGAAGGTCTCAGTCTAGGCCAATGGGCAGAGCCCAGCCACTAAATAACTGAGGAGGAGAAGATCCCCACCTCCCAGGGAGTTGGGGAACCGGCTAAGAGACATCCCCCCGGGCACCCCTCATGTCCGCACCTCCCTCCCCTGCCCTAGGTCAGCAACTGGATGGAGCAGGAGGGGAGCTTGTGCCTGCAGGTGCTGAGCCCCACAGACAGAAGCTTGGAGACTGTGGAGAAGGCCCATGCGGAGTTTGAGGACTTCTTCCTTCAGGCTGCAGTGCGTTCCTAAGACTGAGGAGCAGGACCGGGGCACATGGAGAAGGCAGTGGAGGAGGGGGGCACGGCTGGGGCAAAGGTGTGGAGGTAGGAGAGTGCAAGGAAACTTCCAGAGATGGTGAGAAGACCAGCTGAGATCACAAAGGGTTCAGCTTAGATGCTGTCTCCTCCAGGAAGCCGTCCTGGACCACCATGTCCAAAAAAGACCTATCTCAGAATCCCTGGAAAATTTCATAAAATGCAGATTCCAGGGTCCCACCCGAGACCATTCAGTCAGCCTCAGAGGTCAGGGGCAAAGAATTTGTATCCTTGATGTACTTGACCCTAGAACATGGGTGATTCAGCCCCTTTCAGTCCTCAGGGAGCTCCCAGGCCAGTGGGGGCTGGGGGTGGCAGACAAACAGGGAGACAAACAGAAAAGGAGATGTGGGGGCACACAGCAGGAGCCCCTAACCCAGACCCCGGGTCAGGGTGACCCTAAGCAGAGTCCCGGCGAGGCAAGTGAGCTGCTGACGCAGAGGCCTGGCCCCCATTCTGTAGATGAGGCAACAGAGGTCTGGCAAGTCTCACAACTCAGCAGCGGGGCAGCGGAGGTTCCTGACCTCTGGACGAGGCCTCGGCTAGGATGGGAGCTGAGCGGCGCCCCCTGCTCTCCCCGCTCAGGCCCAGTACCGCCGCGGCCTGGAGCTGTCCAAGCAGGCCGCTCAGCTGGGAGGGACCAGCGAGGCAGGAGGAGCAGAGTCCCGGGAACTGGCAGCCTTCGCCTCCACCCAGCGGGCCTTCCAGGCTAAGCTGACCCACTTCTACATGGCGGCTGAGCGACAGCGCACAGACCTGGAGACGCTACTCCACCTGCACCACTTCTGCCAGAAGGTGAGCCCTGGGGCCCCCCTGCACAGACCCCTCCCCGCCCGCTCCAGTCGGGAGGTGGGGGGGGGCAGGAAGCAGCCCACACACAGCACTAGGCTCCTTGCATGATTCATTCTATAGTCCTGCGGGGTGGGAAGAAGGCATTACCTGCATTTTCTAGGAGAGAAGCAAGGTTTGAGAGGATAGGTTACCCCCCTAAATCAGTCCTGGCTGATCTCTGACCCCAGCTTGTCCCACTACACCCGGCAGCCCCCCAGCGACCTGAACATCAGCTCTCAAAGGACACTCAGAAATCACCTGCTTCTTAAACGTTGGGATTAGGGGAAGGGGGCCAGGTAGTTCCAAGAATCCCGTCGAAGCCATAGACTCTGTCTCCGCGGGTAGCTCACTGCAGACAAATTTAGGTAGTCAGACCAGGCTAAGGACGTTGATCTTGTCCCACCCCTCTGTTGCAGAGCTGGGAAAACAGGATCAGAGAAGGGCTGCCATTTAGCCAGCGTCACACAGCAAGCCCATGGCACCATTCTAGTGCTCTTTCCCATGCCTCACCTTGTCCTGCACAGACGGCGGGAGCTAGGGAAGGAGGGGTAGTTGGAAAAGGTGGGCCCAGAGGCTTCTCTGAGCACCCTCAGAGCAGAGGCCTTGGTCCTTGCCAGGAACCCAGAGTTTGGCCAGGAGCAGGGAGGAGAGGGTAGGGCTCCCCTAGGGCATGGGAATGGGGCAGTACTGGGGTAAGAGGCAAGACGAACTCCTTTGCTTTGTATCCATTATCTCTTGGCAATCCAGTGTAGCAAGGTTGAGTGGTCCCACTTGCCAGATGAGCAAACTGAGGCCCTAAGAGGGAAAGGGCCTTGCCCAAGGCCACACAGCTGCAGAAAAGAAGAGCTGGAATTTGAACGCAGATGCATTCATGATGCTCTCTGTTCTTCTCCAAACCTGGGAGAGCAGGGAGTAACAGATTCCCCTGTTCAGTCAGGTGTGGTGATGATGATGATGATGATGATATGATTATTATGAGATGAGCCCACATTAGTGATTGTGGACTCCATGCCAGACGCTCCTATAAGTGCTTCACAAACCTTGCTTGACTTGATCTCATCATCTCTGTTTTATTTATTTATTTATTTATTTATTTATTTATTTATTTATTTATTTTAAAGTAGGCTCTATGCCCAATGTGGGGTTCGAACTCACAACCCGGAGATCAGGTCACGCGCTCTACTGACTGAGCCAGCGAGGTGCCCCTAATCTCACCATATCTTTATGAGAGAGGGGTGCCAACACTGTTTCCATTCAGTGGATGAGTAAACGGAGGCCCAAAGAGGGAAGGGTCTCGCTCATGGTTCCCCAGAGGGCCGGTGGCCAAGCAGGATTTGACTTAAGACCCCCCTCCCCCAAATCCATTTAGTCAAATCTCTCATTTTTTTGATAGGGACTGAGGCTTAGGAGGACAAGGAGCTGCCCGGGAGAGCTGTACCCCAGATGGGACAAGAACTCCAGCTCTGGCCCAGGCCCAGTGCCCTCAGACTCACCCCCTCGCACTCGCCGCCAAGGACAGAGTGTGGGAAGGGCCTGACCCCAGCCTCCCAGCTGTCAGGCTGGCCCAGCACACAGGAAAGGGAGAACACAGGATGCTTTGGAGGGCAGCAAGAGGGACTCTGGTCAAGGCCCGCCTGGGGCGCCGGGAGGACAGGCCGCTCTCTGTCTCTGTGGGGCAGCTGGCAAGGGATGTGGACAGTGGCAGTGGAGGGACCCCCACTCCCAGCTGACAGTAGAGAGCCAGGCAGTGGCAGAATCTGAGGCTTAGAGCCAGGGGCAGCTCCTGTCTGCTCAGGCCGTGTGACCTCAGTGACGGTCTTCACTGCTCCGGGCCTCGGCTCCTCGTCAGTAATAACGATCATAATAGTAATCATAAGCAGTGTTTCTGTAGTTCTTACTATGTGGCAGGCCCTGTTCATCATTCACATGTCATTTTATTGACACACCAACCCTCTGAGGCAGGTGCTATTATTATGCCCATTTTATGTACGAGGAAACACAGAGAGGTCAAGTAACTCATCCAGGGTCACACAGCAGGGAAGCGGCGGAGCTGAGATTCAAACCCAGGTCCTCTGGCTCTGGGGCCAGCCCTGCTGGGTAGTGAGAGTAGGAAATGAAATGTAAGTAACCCCCCACCCAACCCCGGGGCTTTACTCAAAGTTGGTGTTATTATTATCGACACCAATATGATCATCATTAGGAGCGGTAGGGGCGGTGGTAATGCCTCATGGGTTAAGGGCATCTGGCAGCTTCTCTCCCCTGCTTACTAATTTTAGCCCATTTCGGCCCTGTAAAGCAAACTCACTGCGGCTTTGCACCTTCACACATGCTGGTCCCTCAGTTGGGAAGGCTTTTCCTCGAGACCGGCTGGTTTCTTGTCTTCAGTGCTCAGCTCACGTGTCCCCGCCTGGCCGCCTGGCCCCCCAACCCTCTGGTCACCCTGTTTGTCTCACTTCACGGTGCTCATTGTGATCTGAAATTATCCTGTGGCTTCATCACCCGCTGTCAGCCCCCCGGGAGGCGAGCCCCTGGACTATGTCCTCATCCCTCCCCGGTGCCGGGTGCAGGGTCGGCCCCCACAGAGACCAAGTAGCCAGCGGGAGAGTGAGGAGTGAGGCGGAGGAAGGAAGCCTGGGCGGGGGGCAGGGGGGGGGCGCGGCATGTGGGAAAATAGAGCTCCCCCTGTCCCCCAGGCCTGGAGGTCCTACAGGAGGAGGTGGGAGGAGGTGGGAGCCTCACCTGGAATCCCACTAGGGTCATCTCGCTATTTGACCTGGGCAGGCCCCCCCGCTCCTCTCTGGCCCTGAATCTTAATCCACACAACCTAGGGTTGGGTAAGATGATTGTTGAGGTGCTACCCATCCCTATCCAGCTCAGCCCAGAAGATGGAGTCCCAAACAGACAGACAGACAGGACAGCCCTGGGCTGGGCTCAGCCCCAGGCCCGAGAGCGTGCGTCCGGCAGCTTTGGCACTAAATAATAATAAAACAATTGTGCCACTAACAGAGATTTACGGAGCCCTTTCCCAGCCATGAGCTCTGTGTGCTTCCGCGAATATGAAGCCATTTATCTAAAGACAAGTTCCCTTAATCCGCGGAAAGATGGTTTCCTTGGAGAAAACGGTTCTCCAATCCCCACAGCTAACAGCTCGCTGTCGGCTTCTAAATTAATGGAGAGAAAGATTATGTTTTTCATGAGCTGCTGGGAACGAGTTGGCTCCTTTGCAGCCTGTAGACATTTTGTAGGTGAAGTAGGGACAGGCAGAATCCCAAAATGGGGCAGAGGCCCAGCTGAGTGAGGGGGTCCCCGGGCCTGGGTCTCGCTGGGGACTGTGTGTGCACCGTCCCCGCTGGACCAGTTTCTCCCATGCGGGGCGGTGCTTAGAAGATACTCTCTCGAAGGCTAGACACACCTGAGTTCAAATCCCAGCTCCCCCCTGACTTGCCACGTGAGCTGGGGCAAGTGATTTCATGTGTCTGAGCCTTGGTTTCCTCCTCTGTAAAATGGGCTGCTGGTACCGTTCAGTATGATCATACATGAGATGCACAGAGCCTGCCAAACAGTCGGTGCTCAATAAACGTCTGTTAGATGCCTCCCTCCGTGCCACTCCTAAGGGGTGAAGACAACTGTCACCACAATCCAAGAACCCGAATGATCATCTAGTACAACCTCACTTTCTTGAGAAGGAAAAACAGCCCCAGCGAAGGGTTAAGTCTTTGTTGGCCCCCAGGTCTAGGCGACCAAGCCTGAGGATCCGAAGGGTGCTGGGGACCGTTGCTGATGGCAGGTGGGTTTACCTGAGGGAAGAGAGGGGACCATTGTCCTTCACTGGAGGAGGCCAGGACATCGACTGGGCGCTTCTTATGAATTCAACCCAGCAATGCTTACTCTCTGCTTGGAGAGGCGCATCCCTGTCCTCACGGAGCGGCACAGTCCCGCTCCTAGCCTGAGCCCCACCTCCCTGTCTTGTCGCCCCCAGATGACCTGGTTTCACATGGACTGTCAGGACCTGATGAGGCAGCTCAGGCTGGGCAAGGCCCAGAGGGCCAGCCCTGGGGACCAGCGCCGCCTCCACCGCTACCTGCAGCGACTGGCGTCTGAGTTCCCTGCAGAGAAGCTCATGGCCATGGGGCTGCAGGTGGCCTCGCTGAGCCAGGAAGGCCTGGGCCAGGAGCTGTGGGAGGAGGCCCAGCTGAGACACGAGGAGATCCAGACCTTCCTGAAGAAGGCACTGGCCCACTGCCCATGCCCAGCGGGGCTCACGGCCCGCTCAGCAGCCCCGGAGCTAAAAAGGGTAGCTGCCAGGGGCCAGGGTCTGAATGGAGATGTCACTTCCAAGGGAAGGCGGGGCCTGCCCCTCCAGGACTCACGGGGCCTGGATCGTTCGCCAAATCCTTGCTGGCCTCGTGCCTCCAGAGAGGGGCAGAACAGAAATTTGCAGGCAGGCCTTCTGCCCCTGGAAGGCGGCCAGGCTGTAGAGGCTGATGAAGGCAAAGGCCCCCATGAGCCATTTCCCTTTCCAGCCCCTGAGCGCTTCCTTGACCCCCTCTTCTCCTGGCAGGGACTCCTCAGGCAGAGTCAGACCCCCCATCCCACTGGGGGCAGCTTCTCCTCAGAGGGGACAGACTCACAGATGTCTCTGGAGGACTCACCCCAGATAAGTCCCCCTACATCCCTCTAGCTAGGACCCCCACCAATGGCACTGGGCTCCAGGGGGTGGCTGAGGAGGGGCCCAGTGACAGGAGGGAGCTGGGGAGCCCTGGCTGATCTCATCTGGACGTGGCTCCTGAGCACTCACTGTATGTTTGGCCCATGTAGGAGAAAGCAAGAACCTGAACCTGTTCCCAGGTCCCGAAAACTCTAGGAAGACCTGACTCACAAACAGAATAGTGAGTGTGGAGGGCAAGGCAGGATACGGTAGAGCCTGGGACTGACTCCACAGCCCCCGTGTCCCATCGTGGAGAGAGCTGTTGGGACAGACCCTTCCAGAGGGCTCAGTCTTAGGCAAGCCAGACACCTACCTGGAGTCCAGGGGTGCATAAGCTTACCCTTGGGGACCATGGGGCATAGTTGCCATGAGTGGGGGGATTCGGGAGCGGCTTCTTATCTGAGACAAGGGTTCCGGTTCCTGTTTATTTGGCCATGATTTCAGGAACCACTGGTGGAGGAGCAGGGAGGTGAGTGTGGGAAGGGAATAAAGGGTGTGTTGTCAAGTAAATCAGCGCATGCTGTTTATTCTCTGGGCCTGCCTCGGGCAAAGAGAGTCATCTGCTGGAAGGCAGTTGGAGCACCCTGAAGGAGTAAGGGCAAGGAATGCACTCTCTCTCAACGGCTCCTCCCACTGACAAAGCAATCAGTCTCATACTCCAGGAACCCCATTGGGTCCTGTCCCCTCCGGGCACTCCAGAGAGAACCCTCTCCCCCTCTGCTATTCTGTCTTCTTCTCTCCCTGCACATCTCAGACTCTGTGAACTTCCTCCCTCCACCCCAGGTCCCCATCTCTCTTTAGGCAAAGCTTCTGGTGCCCAGCGTCGTAGGGTTCTGCTGGTGGTTGGGGTGGGTGGGAGTGGGGAGCCACATCCCATCCAGCAGGCGGACGGGCTGGGAAGGCCTTGATACCCCTGATCTCAGAGTGAAGCGGGAGAGTGAGGTCCTTGTCTCATGGAGCCGAAGAATGAATCTTGTGGACAAAGGGGAGTGAGGAAAACGATAGAGTTTTATGAAGCAAGGGTACAGAAAAAGCTCTCAGGAGTGAGTGGGGTCCCGACAGGGTTGCCAACGTGGGCCTCCACCGACAGTCTTTTATTTAGGACTGATCAGGGAGCCTGCGGCCTTACCATTCCTGTGATGTCTTGGTTTGAGTAAGGACTGATGATAACATCTTCCATGGCTTACTTCTTCTTTGGGGTCGGGTTATTCTTTGTTGGTCACCATGTGACTGTCATAAAAAGATTCCCCACTCCTGACGCCCGGGGCAGGGTAGTCTGGTTTGTTCCCTTATTTCTGGTTTTGTTAGGCCTCAGCATTTCTGGGATTTCTGTGAGCCTGATCACGTAGCTCCCTGCCTATCTCTTTCTACCTAACCCCACCTGTCCCTTCTAGGGTATCTAGAGATAGCCAGCCTTTCCCATCGCCCAGAGTGACCCCGGCTAGCGCCTCCCCTGATGGCTGTTTTGCTGGGAAAGTGTGAGGCCCTATCTCCACCTAGGATGCATTAACCAGGTGGCCTCTGGCAGCCTGGCCCTGGAATTTTCCTGGCTCCAGGCAGAGGGTGGGGCACTCAGCTCAACTCTGGAAAGAGGGAGGTGGGACTGGAGAGTGCCTAGGAGGACGAGGCAAGGTTTTCGGAAGACCGCTCAGTAGAGAAAGCGACACAAACCTCAATGCCCAAGATGGCTTCAAGAATCTTCTGGGACTCAAGATTTCTTCAAGTGTGGTCTGTGGCCTGCCTGCCTCAGAGCCATGAGCAGAGCTGATCAAAGGCAGCTTCTTAGGGGTTCCCACCCAGACAATTAAAATCAGGCCCTGGGAGCCAGGGCATGGCTGGAATCTGCCTTTGTAATCAACTACTCAGGTGTTTCTCCTGTGACACGGCGAGGTGGGCTGTCGTCATGAGCCCCCCAGCCCAGGCCAGCTCTCATTCTCGCGTTCCACCCTCCTGCCTTCCGTCCAGACTGGCCTGCGGATGCAGGAGGCGGTTGATAAGCCCACCTCCATCCATGCCTGTCGCCTCAGAGGGGGGCCGAAGGCTCTTAAAATGCTGTTGTCATAGCAACAGCATCCAACCAGTGGGGACCACAGGCAGAGAGCCAGGGCACCTGGGGTGCAAGGATGGAAACTAACTTGAGAGAGAGAGAGTACAGACACTGCGAGGGAGGGGGGGGGCTGTGGAGGGGGGTGGATGGTTCCGGAATCCTTGGAAGGGAGGGCTCCCCAAAGCCATCTTATGCATCCCTCTGTCTCTAAAAAGAGCCAAACCCCAACACTGTCTACTCACAGCAGCCCCTGGGGGAAGGGGATGCAGGTATGAAATCTAATGACAAAGAATAATATAAAAAAATAATACATAATATTAATAGCTAACATTTAGTCTGCATTTTCTTTGTGCCTAGCTCGGTGCTAAGCACTTTAGAAGCTTTCCGGGGCTCACTGGATCTTTCACAACAATCCTATGAGGCCAATACCAAGTTCACTCCATCTTACTGAGGAGGAAACCGAGACTCGGAGTGCCATGCAGCGAGGGGCAGAGTCAGGACTTGGTACGACGCTGACACTTTGGACTCATCTCGGGACAATCTGGGCTGATTGCTGCTTCTGCGTTGGCCACAGGCTTTGTCCCCTCAGAAATCCTGCTAGGCCTGGCCACTGCTGTACCCCAGGGGCCTTGGCTGGGCCGGTCTTGGTCCTCTAGGCATGGCACCTCCTGTCCCCTGTAGCCCACAAGCCAGTGTGGCAATGTGGTTAGTCACGTGGCTCCGGAGCTGGGCAGACCAGATTTCCGCCTGGGCTCCGTGGCTCACAAGCTGTGTGTCCTTGACCAAGTTGCGCTACCTTTCTGTGCCTTGGTTTCCTTATCCATAAAATGAGGATAATCAGATCTCAAAGCCTTGCTGCCGGTATTAAATGAATTCCTACGTGGAAAGCCCTTAGAAAGGTGCCTGGAGCATAGTAAGTGCTCGTGAAATGGTATCTGATATCATACTCTGGCTCCAGCCGGGCCACAGCCCCCGCTTTCATTACCCAGCAGATCAAGGAAGAAATTTCTCCAAGGCCACCAATAGAATCCAAGAGAATTTTTTGCTCTTTGAATCATGTGGATTTCTTAATTAGTTTTCTGATTAATTGACTTCTGCCCTAACCTGCCCATGGTGGGGGCGTGGCGTGTGGTCTCCCCAGGGAGATGTCCCATGACTGACGACAGAGATTCGTTTCAGCAAAGCCTCAGCCCCTAAGAGGCAGCTCTGAGGAGTTGGAGGTGCAGCGTCCCTCTGTGCTGGTGGAGGATGGGCTGTCAAGGAACCCCAAGTTCCTTCCCCAAGTCTGCCAATGACATGACTATGTCTAGCTCACCACGGTGGGGGCCCTTTCCTCTTGCTTGAGGTGTTGGTGGGCAAGGGGTGGTAGGAGGGGCATGGCCTGGGAGGCGGGGACCGCAGGTGGCATTTACACGCTGTTGCTGACTGCCCGCATGACCCCAGGCAGGTTGTGTCTTCTGGCCTGTCTGTCCAGTTGGGTCACGATATGGATAAGGATTTTTCTCATCTTTAGAATCAGAGAGCCCTGCCTTTGAATCTAAGCTTAATGGCCTGACGACTCTGAGCAGACAGCCTCTCAGTTTTCTCCACCTGTCCAGTGGGTTTATCAAGCCTCCCGGGCCAGGGTGATAAGATCTCTGGATCCCTGAGCTCCATACCAGGCCTTTTTCCTCTCCAGAGGGGTGATTGTCTTGTCAGGGAGCAAAGCCTTAGAAATCCACCTGGCAGTGGCTTAGGGCAGAGGTAAGACTGAGCCCAAATAGAAGTTGAGGCACTTTCCAGTTTACAAAGTATATTTTTATCCATTCTTTTTCTCATCTGATAGTCACTACAACCCTGAGGGCACAAAAGTCATACTCTGGGATGTCCCCATGTTACAGATGAGAAGACTGAATGAAGACTGGAGAGGGGGAGGTGCCCTGCCCAAGGTCAAATGCCAAGGAAAGGGGTCACAGGACAAAGAGGGGAAAGGTCAAAATCTGGAGCCTGGTCTGATCAATGGCAAATCTGGGAACGCAGATAAGCCTCCAATTTGTTGGCCACTCTGACGTGGGTGCCCCACACCCTCACGCCCTCAAGTTACCCCCGCCAGACCCGGACAGGGCAGCTGGTCTGAGTCAGGGCACAGGCCGCCCTCATAAAACAGAGATACTCTGTTGTCTGGGGGCTGTGAACTGGCCTCCAGCCCGGGACAAACCCATGGGCCTCAAAACCCCACCCTCTCCCAGCTAAAAACCTGGCTTTCTGAGGCTGGAGCTAGTGGGCCCCCTGGAGAGTAAATTCTCTGGCTGGGCAACAGGACTCCTGAAGTCCCATCCCCTTCTGTTTGGAGCATGTTGGGGGACCCCAGGTAAGCCCCTGCACTCCTCCGGCCTCACTTGCTCCATCTGTGAAATGGGATGGGGCCAGCAGCTGTTGGTAAACTGGTGTCGTCTTGCATGTGGAACCCCCACTCTGCCCTCCCAGTCCCGCCGCCCTCTCTGTGCACTGAACATCTCTCCAGGTGCTCAGGCTGGAAACCCGCCAGGAGTCCTTGAACTTCCCCATAGCCCTGAAATCCACCTGCCTATCTCTCTCTAACCTGCCATTTCTCTCTCCCTCCACACTCCCCATCCTCATCCCAGCTTCCATCCTCTCTTCCCTGGACAGCTGTCACAGTGTCTCCTCCATGGGCTCCCTGCAGCCGCTTGGGGCCCTTTCATGTGTCTTGCACACAGAACCTAGAGGAACCATTACAAAATGCCAAATGAAGTTGGGCTCCACTTAACACCACCCAGTGGCACCCCATGGCTCTCCAGATAATCACTGTGATGCACAAAGCTCTGTGTGGTCAGGCCTCTGCCTATCGCACTAACCTCACCATATCCCCCAGTCTCCATATTCTCTCTGAGTTCTGGCAACACTGACTTCCTTTTAGTTCCTCAGCCATTCCAAGCTCTGTCTGAGCTCAAGTTCCCCTAAAAGCAGACCTGGAGATGAGGCTCAGGTGCAGGTGAGTTGTTGAAAAGGCAATCAGGACAGAAAGGGAAGGAAGCCAAGGTACAATTGCAGACCAAGTGTCAGCCTCTACCTGGTGACATGGGGACCCTGCAGGGCATTTTACACCTCCCAGGCACATGGGGCTCTCTGCAAAAGCATGCTGCTCTAAGCAGGGTCCAGGAGCCCGAGGGCAGTTTTTGGAAATCTTTGCAGGTGCAGGCCCATAGAGGATAATATTCAGTATAAAGAATACGTAGGAAGCTCTCACAACTAAATAATAATAATAATAATAATAATAAACATAAACAATTTAAAAATGGGCAATGGATCTGAATAAGCATTTTTCCAAAGAAGATACACAAAAATGCCAATAAACAGATGAAAAGATGCTCAACATCATTAGCTATCAGGGAAATGCAAATCCAAACAACAGTGAGGTACCACTTCACACTCACTAGGAGGGGTGGAATCAAAATTCAAATAA